GCAAATACTTGAATGCACGTGTTTATTTAGGAGATGATCCTCGGGAACAGGACTGAAAGAGCTGGTGGAGTGAGACAAGAAAGGAGGAAAAGCCAATATAAGGTATTATTGAGGTTGATTCTATGAGCACTGGGACCTTCCAGAGCAGTAAAGAGGAGGCTGTCCAGTTAGCACAGTTGCTTAGCGCACGGTGCTGATAACTCCAAGGTCCTGGGTTCAGTCCCTGTACCCTCCAGCTGCCAAAACAAGCAAAAAAAGAAGAGCAAAGAATCCCTCCTACTATTGTCCACATGAATGGTGGGAAACTGGAACCTTTATCCTCAGGCTCCTGTCCCCCACTGTTAAAGTTTTCCTGGGATTGTTATCCTGTGCATTCCCAGGCTATGCTTGCTATCAAAATGAGCTCTGAAAAAGTGCCTGAGGCAGAATGTGGAAAGGCATGAGGGCTATCTGAGCAGTGCAAGGGGAGTTCTGAGTTCACTTAGAACTACCCAGCACAGCTACAGCGAAATCCAGAGGTGTACCAAAGAATTTCATTGTTCCCAACCCACGAAGTGGAGATAAACATAGTGCCTGAGAGTTGTCATGAAATTTTAAATTCGTATAGCACAACCAGCTGTACACCAAAAATATTTCCCCTTTTCAAAGCTTTTAGACATGTAGAATTAGATGGCAGTCATGGACTGTGGCAAAGGCTGCTTGCTTCCCACCCATTCATTCTTCCCCCAGAATCTCAATTTATTTGATGTAGTACACTGCCATTCTTCTACAAGATATTTCCTAGTAACTTAGCATCCTGCTATAATCATGTGACTAGGTTCTTGACAAAAGCATTTAACTTCAAGTGTGCTGTGGTACCTAGAGTCTTCTTAAAAGCAAAGTGGCATGCTTTTCTTCCCCTTTCTCCATCCCACTACCTGGAACAAGCACTTGATGGCTGGAGCTCTTGCAGCCACCTTGGACCATGACAATAATGGCCCCACTGAGGATGGCCAAGTGGTAATTTGGAAGGAGTTGGGTCCCTGCTGACATTGTAAAACTGTCTTAGCCACCATGGGTTGCCTATCTCCGGACTTCTATTATTAGAAAAATAAATTTCTATCTTGTATTATAATCTGTTGTTGGTGGAGGGGGTTCTGTTATATATAGATGAATCTAATTAGCTATGGTAGGCTGAGTAATAGCCACCCAAAAGTGTGTCAGGTCCTAATCCCTGGAACCTATGAATGTTATCTTAGATGGCTGTTTTGCAGGTGTGATTACAGGTCTTGAGATAAGGGCCAATATCCTGGATTATCTGGGTGGTTCCTAAATATCATAACAAATGCCCTTATAAGAGGCCAGAAAGATTAGATACACAGAGGTGATGTGAAGACAGCACAGATTCAGATGATCTGGCTACAAGCTAAGGAATGCTGACAGCCACCAGAAGCTTGAAGAGACACAGACCTGACTCTGCCCTAGAACCTCCTGAGGAGTGCAGCCCTGCTGATACATTGATTTCTGCCCAGGGAAACTGATTGCAAATGTCTGGCCTCCAGAACTGAGACAGAATAAATTTCTGTTGTTTTAAGCCACCAAGTTTGTGATAATTTATTATAGAAGCCATAAAAAACAAATACATTAACCATAACTGGTTCAAGGACAATTAATTGTTCAATTGGAGAGGGTTTCCTGACAGTGGCACCAGGATCATGGACTGGGGATGCTAACTACTCAATAGGGAAGTCCAGGAAAATGGGAACAATTAAACCTCACTCAGCTATCCCATGTCCCAAACCTGAAAGAGATGTTGAAGTACAGATGCTTAACAACATCCCAATGCCACACAGCCTCTAAGAGTAAGGGGACCCAAGAACCAGGTCCTCTGCCTCCTATAGTCATGCTACCTCACTCACAGCAGCTAGATTGAGACACTGCCTGTACCAAACGTATCTTATTATTCTATCTCACCCCACGCTTTCCCCCACTGAGGCCCATTTCCCATCTACCTCCCATTCTGTAATTCGAGCACAGACTCCCTGTCTTGATTTGATTGATATTCTCTTCCATCTCTAAAGAGCATAAGACAGTTTCCTCCAACAACCCCTCTTCTGTTGCTGAGACACAGTTGCCACAGACTTTACATCCATCCTCTACAGGGCAATACTGAGTGTGAAGGTTAATTCTAGGTGTCAGCTTGATAGATTAAGGAATACCAAGCAACCTGGTAAAGCTATCTTTTTAGGTGTGTCCATGAGGGTGTTTCCAGAAGAGATTAGCATGCAGCCAGAGTGGACTGGATGGGAAACATCCGCCCTCAACATGGTAGGAACCATCCAATCTGCTGGCAGCCCAGAGAGAACAGAAAACAGGGGGGAAAGGCAAATCTTTCCCTCTATCCATAGGAGCTGGGATACACTCTTCTCTCCTGTGTGTGGACATCAGAGCTTGAGTCTTCAGCTTTTGGGTTGAAGGACTTACACCAAGGATACCATCAGCTTCCCTGATTCTCAGGCTTCAGCCTCAGACTGAGCCACGCTACCAGCATCCATCTTGCAGACAGCCTATCGTGGGACTTTTCACAACCGTGTGAGCTAATGTCCCTAATAAATCCCCTCTCATATATTTATAAAATATCCTATTGATTCTCTCTCTCTGAATTCACATTTCCTTAACTGTAACATGGAGCTAATTACAGCACCTTCTTCATAAAGTTGTTGTATCGAGTAAATGTTGTGTAGTGATTAGTAAAATGTCTGGCACATGGCAAGTGCCCCAAAATATTACTGCTGTCATCATATACTAAAGGGCAGCTATAGCTGAAGCAGCGACATGTGAAACTAATAGCCCCTGACCCTGGATACTTTAACCAGTTTCTTTTCTGGGTGACTTAGATTTTCTGTCTGCAAAATGATTTCCCTATAAGCCAAATGCCCGCAATGGTAGGGAATAAATTGTGGTATATCCATGCAATGGAATACTATGCAGCAATGAGACTGTGTCTATACTGATGATTCCATTTATGTAAAACTACAAAAACAAGCAAAATAATTTGTGGTGATATAAGTCAGAATAGAGGTTATGGGAAGAAAGAAGTAATGACCGGAATGGCATAGAGGGAGACTTAAAACAATGCTGGTATATTCTCTCTCTCTCCATCTGGGCCATTATATGTTGTACACCTATGACTTGTGCATTTTTATGTTATACTTCAACTAAAAAAATGTTTACTTAAAAAGTGATTCTCCCAGCTTATTATTCATTGGTCAGCCCAAGCACGTGATACAACTGCTCATCCCACTTGCTGGCAAGTAAGGAAGAGGGGTGAAGCCACCCAGCTGTTAAGACTTCAGGGAGCAGGTAGAGTCTGGAATTGGGTAGGAGACTCCAACACTGGCTGGCAGAAGGGCACATGGGAGGGAAGTGGGTTATAACATTCATCATCCAAAGAAAAGGACCCACTCTTTGTTTCCCTACCAGGGCATCTCTGCAGTGTGCCTTATGACTGAGAACCAGAGCATGTCCTTGGCCCATTAATGAGATCAAAGGGCAGGGTGAGCATGCTATTCCAGGCATTAAACTGGTAAATGCCAAGCTATAAAAGATATAATAGCCTGTCATTTACCAGTTTAATGCCTAGATTAGCAGTCATTCCAAATAAAAACTGAAGGGCTGGGAGCTTTGCCTACTTGGTTAGAGCACAGTGCTGATAACACAAAGGTCAAAGGTTCAGATTACCATACTGGCTAGCCCCCCTCCCCCCCAAAAAAAATGCCAAAACAAAAAAATAACTGAGTAAACAGATAATGAAAGCTTTAAGAGTGAAAACTTTCAGTTTCATAGTTGACTTCTCTTGAGAATGGATTCACTGATGCAGACATAGATTTATAGTAACATCAAAATGTTTATTACAGAGCTTAAGTTGTTTGAACTTCTGTCCACTGGTGCTGTGTAGACTGGAAAACCCACTGTAATGCTGCACAGGCCAATCTCATCACAATCATGGGGTTTGGGGACTGTCAGGACTATAGCTAAAGTCTTTCCCATATATCATACAGACAAAACATTTCTCCATCATCAAATATGTTATCCCTGAAGACTTTTCTTTTCTTTTTTTTTTTCTCTCTAAAGATGACCAGTAGGGGGATCTTAACCCTTGGCTTGGTGTTGTCGGCACCACGCTCAGCCAGTGAGCAAACCGGCCATCCCTATATAGGATCCGAACCCGCGGCCCTAGTGTTATCAGCACCACACTCTCCCGAGTGAGCCACGGGCTGGCCCTAGACTTTTCAAATAACTGTTACAGTGATAAAGGTCTGTATAAATCAAAACTCTGTTCCAAGGAAAGAAAACCTAACTCAAACTTGCCTAAGCACGAAAGAAAAAGTGGAATTTACTGGTTACTAGAATTTAAAAACCTACATGTATTATAGCTTCAGCTATGGTCCAACTGAAGTTATTCAGTTGCTCAAACAATATCTTCAAGATATGATTGCTCTCCAACACTAAGATATCTATTCTGCTGTGTTAACTTTATTCTCAGACTCCACAAGAACCCAGGAGCTACTCTCAGCTTTAAAACCAATGAAAAAAGTAGAAGGGAACTTCAAGAAGTTCGTGGAAAAATAGAACTGAAAGCTAATATGAATCTTTCCATTAAATTTTTGAAGTACCCACATTTTTCTTCCTACTACCTCTTGCCACATCCTGAAACTCTCTTGAGTTTGGATGTGTTGTCCCCCCAAAACTCATGTGGAAATCTGATCCCTGGTGTGGCAGTTTGAGTTATGGGGGCAGATCCCTCATGAATGGATTAGTGCTCTCCCTAGGTGGGGGGATTAATGAGTGAGTTCTCACTCTATTAGTTCCTGCAAGAGCTGGTTGTTTAAAAAGAACCTGGCACCTCCTCTCTCGCTTCCTCGCCATGTGATCTGCCTGTACCGCTGGCTGCTTGCCGCTTTCTGCCATGAGTAGAAGCAGCCTGAGGCCTGTGCCAGATGCAGCTGTCCCAGAATTGTAAGCCAAATAAACTTCTGTTCTTTATAAATTACCCAGTCTTAGGTATTTCTGTTATAGGAACACAAACGGAATAATACACTCTCACTTGACCATCGTGGACCACCTACTGACATCTGAACCAGTAACTGCGTCTTGAGGAAAGGAATGTGCAGCTGAGCCAGGCCTGTGTCACACATTCCACTCCCGAATGGAAAATGGAATCCAAAAGGAAAGTGCATGCACTGCTACCAGTAAAAGGGGGTAAAAAATTCTGGGAGGCCAAAATGACAAATGTCCAACACAGGCTTCTCTCCAGAGCAGACATGCTCACAATGACCTGGCTGGGAAGAAGTCCTAAAGGTTTTTCCATACTTGTTACACTCATAGGGTTTCTTTCCAGTATGGATTCTTTGATGCTGAAGAAGATTTCTTTTGCCAGTGAAGACTTTTCCACACTCATCACATGGATAGGAAGATTCCTGAGTATGAATTCTCAGATGCCTTTTCAACTGTTCCTGAGCACTGAAGGCTTTTCCACAATCTACACAGTCAAAGGGTTTCTTCTCACTGTGAATCCTCTGGTGCCGAGTTAATTTTGTATAAAAATTGAAGGCTTGTCCGCATACTTTACAAGAATAAGGCTTTTCCCCTGTGTGAATGCGCTGATGTTGGCTAAGATGGGAAGTCCTTCCAAAACTTTTGCCACACTCATTACACTCATAGGGTTTCTCTCCAGTGTGGATTTTCTGATGGCGAATCAGTGGTGAATTACCAACAAAAGCTTTTCCACACTCATTACACTCATAGGGTTTCTCCCCAGTGTGTATTCTCTGGTGTATAACAAACTCGGAACTACTGGTGAAACTATTTCCACAATCCATACAGTGATAGGGTCTGTCCCCACTGTGGATTCTCTGATGCCTGATCAGATTTGCATTGTCATTAAAGGCTCTCCCACACTCCTCGCACTGATACGGTTTCTCTCCAGTGTGGATCCTCTGATGTCGGATTAATGAAGAATTGCCATTAAAGGCTTTTCCACACTCACTACACTCAAAGGGTTTCTCCCCAGTGTGAATTCTCTGGTGTCTAACGTAGTAAGAAAAATAGGTAAAGCATTTCCCACACTCCTCACATCTGAAGGGTTTCCTTGCATAGTGAATTCTTGAAACCTTTCCTTTAAAATTTTTCACCATGGAGATTTCCCGGTGCTTCTTCATTTCATATGTTTCTGGGAAGTTGGTTCTCTGAGAGACACTCTTCGGCAGCCCATATGACATCACTATGTTTCTTTCTTTGGATATTCTTTGTGTTGGTGTGGACTCATTGTCAGTGGTGGTCTCAGTATCTAACATAAGAAACAGAACATAAATGCCACCTTAGAATTATACTAGAAACAAAAGAGCTAAAAATTATAGGTGGATCCCCATACCAGCCAAACGCCAAAAAAGAAAATTATAGGGCTTTGAAAGATATCATCCCAATCTCCACATCAGCCTGCTAGAAAGACAACACTACTAAAATGAAAGTGCCAAATATCACACAGACAGAGAAGAGTCAAGGTAGAACAAGCTATCAGTGCACACATCACATAAAGTATTTTTTCCTAAGCTTTTCTGCTCTAAATTTGAATGACTTCTGGTCATCCCTATTATCTTTTAAATCTATGGTATTTATAGGCCTAGAGAATGCCAAAGAAGGCACAGGTTCTAAAAGCAAGTAGTGACACTGAGGCTGGCAAGACTCACAATCCAAAAATAAAACAGAACAGAGTCAGAAAGCAAAGACAATGGAAGAATTGTTGTTCCTTTTAACAATTCATGCCTTGCAGATGGCCCAAAAGACTGGAGCATTAAGGGTACTAGGTACAGCGTGGTGTTGATAACACCAAGGTCCAGGGTTCAATCGCTGTACCAGTAGCCACCAAAAACGTTTTTTTAAAACTTAAAAAATAAGGGCACTAGGTTGTTGCAAGACAGAGAGAAAGAAAATCACAGAAGTGCTTAGAGGACATTACCCCCAACATGCTACATGATGACCTAGTCTAGAGGTTCTTAACTGCAGGTCCACAGATTGGATATGGACATGAGTGAATACCCTAAAACTGTTGGCAACTGCTTTGTCTCGTCATTAGACTCTGAAAATCTAAATCTCAAACATGAAAAGAAACTACTGTCCTAGACTCTCTGCCTATTTGGAAAGGGAAGAACCCAGTTTCCTTAAATGCACCAAGACTGCAGAGTATTCTTTGTCATATTAGCAAAAAGGAGACAAACAGCAGCCCATAAAATGGCACTTGTGTTTCTAAAGATTAGATGACATTTTAACTAAGTCAAAGGTAATCTATTTTATATAAAATGCTGGACCTTGTTTTAACATTAATTGGGGTTATCTGTGACTGGCCTGCTGCTTAATTAAGTTCATCTATGAGTGTGAGTTAAAAGTGTAAGGGACCTCAGAAGAAGAATGTTGGAATAGGAGAGATCTGAAACTGAAACATGATAACCAACAGTCCAAAAAAGAGTGAACAAGACAACTGGGAACCTAGGGGTCTGTTCTCACACCCCTCTTTTTTCTTGCTACTAGGCTGTTCAATGTCATAAGATCAAGACTGAGCAATTGATGACCCCAAAACTCTCTATTTTCCCTGATGCCACATACTCCACCATTCATCTTGCTATTCATCTTGCTCAGGATCCCCCCAGCAGTTCTTCCAAACAATATCCATTTCCCTACACCCCAGTTGAACTCCTGCCTCCCTAGTGTTCCAGTCATCGTCACCTCATTCCTGCTGAAAGAAACCAAGGCTGTGCAGGTGCAGTGCCCTCACCCTGTTTCCCTTCCATTTCCACATCCTCCCACCCCAAACTGCCCTTTCAAGTCTCACACTTGTCAGTCACCCTGGAGCCCCACTTCTCACACTTCCTCTGCTACACTGCCTGAGCAGCTGTATCTTCTCTTCATCTTCAACCTCCTCCTCTAGATTCTCAAATTCACTTGGGCTTAATGATCATCCCTTCACATCCAATTTTTCTTATAGTGTTTTTCAAACTGCCATTGGTCATGAAACTGATAACACTGCATTACTATCAAACAATTTTTTAAAGAAAGATGCCAGTAGTCTACATTAGAATGGAAAATATTCACACTCATTGCAACAGTAAGGGTAAATTTTATTTCCTGATACTCTCGTTTCAGAGTACACGAGGGAAAAGGTTCTGCTGCAAAATGTAATGCCTACTGAGAGTCATAATCAAGACAGAGTTTTGAAACATTTACTATATTTTCTTTCATTTCTAAACTTTCCAAAATAAGAAGCTAAAGTGCTGCATCAACTTTGTCATCTCCTATTTACTCACTCTCTGCAAACCACCTACCCTGAAACTCCTGCCCTTGCCTTCAACTTCACTGTTCACTCTTAATGGCCCACTTCTGATTCCTTGGCTACTTTCTCTTCTCTCTCTCACTAAAATTAAATATCTCTTAATATTTCAGATTCAGGGGCTGGCTGGCTACTTTGACTGGTTACCGCATAGCCTTGTAATGCCAAGGTTAAGGGTTCAGATCCCCATAGTAGCCAGCTGCCAAAAAAAAAAAAAGACAAAAATATATTTAAGATTTAGCCTTCTATTTTCTCTCTGGGGATCATTTCAACCAACTCTGGTTCCATCTACACTTGTATCTACACTTGCAGACCTGACATTTATCTCAGATTCTACACCTCCCTTCTCAATGGCCTGCTCTAGCCATCCACTTACATCTTAAAGAAACCCCACACTCCGTGCTTGTATCTGAATTTGTATAAATTCAAAAAGCTCCTCCCATGTCATGACGTCCCAATGTTATCTGACTCAACTCTCCCTTTTTATGGGCAAGCCTTGTCAGTGTTACCTCCACACTCTCCTTCCATTTCTGCATCACCACTATCCCCTACTCAATTTACTCACTCAAAAGTTAATGCTCGTGGGCCGGCCCGTGGCTCACTCGGGAGAGTGCAGTGCTGATAACACTAAGGCCCCGGGTTCAGATCCCATATACGGATGGCCGGTTTGCTCACTTGGGGAGCGTGGTGCTGACAACACCAAGTCAGGGGTTAAGATCCCCTTACCGGTCATCCGGAAAAAAAAAGTTAATGCCCAATATATAATAATAGTGGAACAGGATTTTATCCCTTCATTTCCTTCAGGGGAATCAAACCACATACTATACCAAATTAATATTTTGAAAACACAGCCATCACAGGCTTACGTCACTAGTGGCAAGGTCACTGTGGTGGGCGTCACTGCTCCTGCTCCACGCTATTTTTCCTGCTCTCCCATTTCCTCTTCCCTGTTCCAGATTTGCCTGCTTGTCCGTTTCTGTAAGTTCTCCAGAATAGAGCCAGCCCTTTGGGTCCACCACAAACTGCATCCTAGATTTCCCAACCCAGACTGGGTGGGTAAAACACACCACCCATATTCATCCACACTGTTGGCTACATAAGGGGCTCAGAATATGCTGCAGACTCTGCCAGCCCCAGTTTCTAAGAAGTCAAGAACAGGAAATCCCACTCAGGCTTTGAGTCGTAAGCCTCATGCTCTTGAAGTGCTTACTAGAAAAGACAGAAGAATCCCTGCAGGTGGGCTATAGAAATACTGATTGCTAAATATGCTCCCCAGGTGATTCTCCTGCACACATTAAACTGCAAAGTTCTTTACAATGACTTACTGGATGCTCTATTCCCTTCCTTGAGCTGGATACATGACCTTCTTTTTCCCCACCTGAAAACCATTGTAATCTGTCAAACTTCAAGGAGTGTTACTTATCTTCTAAGCTGGATTTAGTCCAACCCCTCCTTCTGCTGTGCTCCCACAGCACACTGCTGATATACCAAAAACAGCATTTAGCACATTTTTTTTAGATTTATATCTGACTCCATAACTTGTATCCTCCAGAGCTTCTTAAACAAAGCTTAGCATGGCAAGTGCTCAAAAAACGCTCTTGAATAAATCCATCCCATCCAAGGAAGAAGGACCACTGAGGTAGGCAATATTGAAAGCAGCAATGCATTTAAGAATTGCATATGAGATGTACTGAGTGGCAGTATGTTGATAAGACTTCAGACTGGTGGAAAAGGTTTCATATTTTACCTATTAGGAGAAAGCATCTACTTTATTTAAATCCTGCCTGGCATGATTCATTTTAAAATACAGTGTTCTGTAAAACTCTACAGTTGCTGGTTCTAAACCTGCCTCCCTTACCTTTACAGACATCTTTGGTCTTCTCTGCAGGGGGATCATCCTGCACCACCAGGCCCCAAGATAAATCCCCTTCCTCCAGAAGTGAGATGAGGGCAGGTTTGGGAACCGAGTAACCTGAAAAGGGGAAGAAAATGGCACCTTTCAGCCCTGTACCTGCTGTGTCAAAAGAGAAAACCCCAGGAATCTCAGTAAGAATAAGACCCACAGAAGAGGGCTCAGGACTGGGGAAGGCAAATGAGATTTTAATTGAGAGGAAACTGAGCATTTGTGACCTATTCTTAAAAAAAACTTAAGGGTAGGTACACTAGTGAGATCCTATAAGACATGTGCAAACACCATTCCCCAGACAACAGAAACCACAGTACTTATTCCTTAAGAGCCCCTTGGAGGATGGGACAAACTCTTACCAGAGGATAGCAATTCCCTACATTGGGACCAAACTGACCTAAGACCTCACCCTACCCAGCAATTTCTGAAGTTGGTCATTGAGCCTCAGTCCTGGAGTCACTTAATGGAGGATACCAGAGACAACCCCTTCTTCTCCATATCACATCCCCTGACTGTAAGGAGAAAGGAAGGAAGAAAACCAGAAAGTACAGCTCTGAGTCCCAGGACGAAAATGGCCTTACCCAGGGTAGTCAAGTTTCCATAATTCTCCAGCATCACACTTCTGTACAGGGCCCTCTGTACAGGAGAAAGACCAGCCCATTCTGTCCGGGTGAAGTACACAGCCACATCCTCAAAGGTCACCACCTCCTAAAACAACAGGTTTCTGCTGCCCCAGAGCCAATCCTCTGGCTCCAGACCAGAGTGAAGGGGCAAGGGGACAATAATGAGGGCCTGAGGGAAAGGTCCTATAAGGAATGAGTAATGAGAAAAGGCAAAAGAACTGGACATTAGACCTAATATAAACTACTATTTCTACAACCAAAAATCTAGAACTTCTCTCATTACTAAAACAGCTTCCATTAGGATACAAAGTTTACTGTCATAAAACATGAGTTAACATTTCAAACACCCTTGGAAAAAAGTCTCCCATTAATTAAACTTCCTAGAGCAAAATCACTTTGATTTTGTAAAGACTTTCAGTCTTTCATTATAGCACCTACAAATGGACTATTGGCTTCAATCTGTCCAGACACCCACTCACAAGTGGCATCTCAGGACCCCACTGTTCCCACTTTGCTGCTCCAAGTGCCCAGCTAATCCATCTGTTCCCCACATGTGCTCACTCCACCCCAAACCTCATGCCCATGTACCAGGAACAGGACCATGGCTTACCCTGATGAGCCTATCTCATCCAACCCCCACCTGACCTTGACCAAGAGGCTGTGCTGATTATGCTCAAGAACATCCACCAGAGGGAGCTCAGTGCCCTGGGGCTAGTCCATTCTGCTTCCTGACGGGTCTTCCTGGGAGAAGATGCTTCTGGAATTGAATTGCTGCTGCTACTGCTGCTGCTGGTAACTCTTCTAGCTGCTTATGTTTATACCTCCAAGACAATCTGTAATAACTTCTGCCAACCAAGCCTCATGCTTTTTTTCTTTTCTTTTTTTTTTAAAAAGATGACTGGTAAGGGGATCTTAACCCTCGGCTTGGTGTTGTCAGCACCACGCTCAGCCAGTGAGCGAACTGGCCATCACTATATAGGATCCGAACCCATGGCGTGGTGTTATCAGCACCACACTCTTCTGAGTGAGCCATGGGCCGGCCCTCCTCATGCTTTTTCAATAGATACCCTTTCCTCTCCTTAATGGCCCCTACTCTACCTTCCCAGAAAGTTCTAGCATTTGGTTTAGAATCTCTGTTCATGCCTCAGACTTTGGTATCAAACTTGGTTACCTGAACATGCAGTAAATATCCTCCCATCCTCAAACACCTCAACTGACTCTGCACACCCTCCCTTCCCACATGTCCCAGCACAGCCTCTGACTGTGGATGACCCAACACATCTGACCCACCACCCAACACCAAACTCATCTTCCCTTTCTAATGTATATAAACTAACTGGCACTGTGAATGTCAATTTTTCCCTCTCTCAGTTAATAGTACCATTTTCGGCCCAGTCTCCAATGCTAGAAACTTGAGATTCACTCCACACCATTACACCCCAGTCACTGCTCATTTCTGACAAGCAGTCAGTAATCAAATCCTGTCACTTTTATCACTTACTTCTGGAATCTGACTCTTCACCATGGTACAATCAGTACACAAATTCAACAGCCGGGGACAGTTAAACAGCTCCAATTCCAGGCTTGTCCTGCACTGAATCCATCCTCTGCCCAGCTGACGACCTGACCCCATCAACTCCTTAATGTCTCTCTTGAATGAATCACCACTAACTAGAACAGTAGTTATCAAAGCATGGTCCGCAGAGCACCACCAGTAGCAGCAGCAGCACCTGGGAACTTGTCAGAAAGGCAAATTTTTGGACCCCACCCTGAGAGTAACCTGTGCTTTGATGAACCCTCCAGATGACTCCGATGTACACTAAAGTTTGAGAACTCTGGATTATACAATAAAGTCCATGCTCAGAAACCTGAGCTATAGCAGGTAACAAGTAGAAGGTGATGGGAAGGTACAAGACTACACAAAGAAACTATGTGGGAAGCTCTGCAAACAAAATTCCGAGAATAAATGACAAACCCTAAATCGGAGTAATATAAAAAATGAGACAGATGGAAGAGATAATAGGCAGAAACAAGAGGACTTGCTGGTGGCTCTCTGGGAATGGTATCAAGAGAGAATAGAGTCAACAATTACTCAGCAGTCTAGAAACTGGGTGACCAGGACTGTAGAAAATCACAAGAGGGTGGGAGCTTTAAGAAAGATGATATATCAGTGGGATAGTTAGGTGGAGGGACTTGACAGATGTGAGAAATCCAAGATTGGGTTCATGGATCATAAGTGACCAGGAAGAAAGAAACAACAAAGCAACACCCAGCAACTCATCAGTCTCAAAAGGTAAAATACAATTCAAAAAAATCAATTTCCCTGTCCCCAAAATGTAAGGTATTTATGTTCACTTTACAAATGAAGCCAGTTAAGATGCAAAGAGGTTACGTGACTAGCTTAAGGCCACAATGCCATTGAGGCTAGATGGGATACCTAACATCAGGTGTCCTGTCCTAGCATAGATTTTCCTATCACGGCCCACTGCCTCACTTAGCCAACAGTACTGACCTCAAGAAGGAAATATGCTTACTGATTTTGAAGACAAAACTTCTTTCTTTTGGAAGACAAATGGCATGAGCCCCCTTTTTCTTATCTTCTTTCAGCTGTCCCTCTGCTGCTTTCCCAAGAACCTTTTGATCTTGCTGGTATCAATCACTCACACCCTATACTGGATCCCTAGATCACCAGCCTGAGTCTCTCATTCCCAAAGATCCCTCTGCGGGTGGGGAGGAGCTGCAGAACATGGGACTGTCCAGCTCAGTTGAGATCCTCAGCATGCAAAAGGCTACACTTCTGCTTCCCAGTACACTCTCTCCTGTCTTCATCCTCACTGGCCTTGGAGCCTGGCTGCTCAGTGCTCACCATCAGCTCTTTCCCCAGCATCCAGTCCAACTGATGGGAATCAAAAGAGGCTTCCTACTTCTCTGGCTCTAAGAATCACCTCTCTCGTCCCCCATTTTCTTCGAATCAGACCTCCATAAAGCTGACCTGAGGAATCCACAGCTCACCTGGTGCTGGTTTTTCAGGGCTATGGCTGCCATCACCTGGGCTCCCCCTCAGGGAAGGGCACGGGCTGAGGGAAGAAACAAAGAGAACCAAGGATAAGCCTTGTCCATAGAAGGCTCTCCTTTAAGCCAACGAACCTGCCAATAACAGCAGCAATCATTTACTAAATGCCCACTGGGTAAGTTGTGTATAAATACTTCTCTTAAACCACTCCATACCATGAGGTTTGTAATTCTGAGCAAAGTGACACTTTGATAGGATAAGTGACTTTCCCCATGTCACCAGAGCCTGCACTAACAAACATCAAGCAAAATAAAGAGCAAAATAAGCAAAAAACGCCAAAAAACTCAAAGCAAAATCTAACAAGAAAAAACCCAGACCTTCATTTTTAAAAATAAAATTTTACTGGAAAATATAAGGTTAAAGAAAAGAAGTATGTTTGGGGGTGAAAAATATGTATACACATTCAGTTCTCACAATAACCTGAAACTTGTCTTTTTCCCAAATGAGAAAACAAGACTAAGAACAAGTTTTTCTACCACAATCATTCAGCGGGTGGATGGATGAACTTGGATCCCAATGATATCTGCCAGACTCCAGAAACCCTGCTTTTAATAACCACACTAAATTGTGTCTCATCATAGTTCCAACAGATTTATTTTAGAACCTGACAAAGCGATTCTAGGGTTAATATGGAAGAATCGATAAGAGTAGCAAAGAAAATTCAGAAAAAGAAAGAGTAAATATTCCTTTTCTCGGTTTGGGGGGCAGGCATCTTTTTTGTTCATCACTCCATTCCAGGACCCAGTGATAACCAGAAACTGACTTAGCAAAGGTCCCTGAAAGGCCACCTCAACGTGCCAAAATGTCTGGATTCCCATCCCCTATAGACACTATGTTTTCTTGTTATAGTCATATTTTACCAAAAACCCAGCATCTTCCCTGAGGAGACAATGCATGATGCAGTTTCCTGCTAGACTCATCTCTTGCCACCTCCTCCTTTCTTTGTTTCCTCTACTATATTAATTTTATCAGGACCTTCGTACCTGCTATTTCCTAATGAACCATTCTTCAACCTCAGAACCTTTGTAGCTGATATTCTCTGCCTGCAATACTCTGCAGTAATCTGACCGTTCTTCACCTGGGTAATGCCAGCTCATCCTTCAGATCATGTCCTGTCTATACAGACCAGATCGGGTCCCCGTTACACACTCCATTAGCACTGTATTCCCTTCCCTGTATACCACTTTTCCCGATTTGAGGTTATACACTAATTTGTGCTTTCTTCATTCAAACATTTATCATATACATATTTCATGCCAGATCGCAAAAGATACGCAGGAGATACAGTGGAGAGAGAAAAAAGAATGTGATCCCTTCCTTCATGGAGCTTGGTCTAAAAAAAAGACACACATTAATCAAAGATTCTCACAAGTAACTTTAAGATCACAACTGTGATTAGTGCCAGGGGAAACTATCCTAGATAGAAACGCTCGGGCCGGCCCGTGGCTCACTCGGGAGAGTGTGGTGCTGATAACACCAAGGCCACAGGTTCGGATCCCATATAGGGATGGCCGGTTCGCTCACTGAGGGAGGATGGTGCTGACACCACCAAGCCAAGGATTAAGATCCCCTTACCGATCATCTTTAGGAAAAAAAAAAAAAAAGAAAGGCTTAAGAATAGGAATTAACTAGGCTAAAAGGGAAATCCTTACGAAAGTAACAGCATGTTCTAGTAGTGAAGGGTCAAGAAGGCTGTAGCCCAGCCAGGGTGAGTGTGCTGCAGGACGATACTGAATAAGTTGCAACAGATAAACCCACACCTTGTGCACATCTTGGACTTGGTCTTAGACTTACAAGCGATAGGCTGCAGCTACAGAGTTATAAGCAGGTGGAGTTAAATGCTTAAATTTGCTTAATATGTGACTTTCCCATTAAGCTGAAAGCTCCCGGCGGGCGGGGCCCACGCCCCGTCTCTTGCACAGCTGCATCCCCGGAACCTAGAACAGCAACTGGCATTTAGCTGCTCACTAACTAGTTGTCGGCCCGACGAGCAGAGGGGCTCTGTGGCTGCGTCGGGCCACAGGGCGCCTCCCTTTCCATCCACAGCCTCCGTTTCCCAAGGCTGCCGCCGCGGGCTATAGCGCAGGTCCCCGAGCACAGCGGGACTGACCCACAGGCTGCTTCCGCTCCCCAGACCCAGAGGCGCCGTCCTGACTCCCTCCACCGCGGCATCAGTGACAAAGCCGACCACCTTCTCTAAACGCAACGGATGCAGGCCTAGCGAGGACCCCTAGGCGAATAACACTCACCTCAGGAAGAACAGAAAGTGCGGCGTGAACGGAAGTGCGTCAGCACGTCGGCCGAGGCGCCCAAGCCTCACGTCTTTCCTCTCTAGGATGCGGGAGCTCTCCTCTCAGTGGTTCTCTGGCTTTACTCCTTGGAGCGGGGGGTTAACCCGGGATCCTTGAGTAGGAGAGAAGATATATCGTTGTTTTTGCTAATTTCTTACCGAAATTTAGCATTTTCTTCAATTGTGTGTTGCCAACAGGCCACAGTAGTATCAGCTGTACCTGGGACTTTATCACCAATATGAGTATAAATCAGTTATTTTCATATTACAGTACAATTGATGCATATCTCAAAATATGGGCTATTTTCATCACTAATTCGAAGTTACCGTTGTCTTTATTATGCCCACCTTTAGATCTTGTTATCACATTGGTAAAGATGCACTTAGATTTCTGTATCACAATTTTTTTTTTTCCTTTTTTTTTTTTGTCTTTTTTCTTGACCGGGGACGGATCGCAACCCTCAGTGTCGCGCCCGGACCTGACTGGGACCGGCAACGGGATCACAACCCTCGGTGTTGCGCCCGCACCTCGCTCAGCCAGTGAGCAGCCGGTCTGCATGTGGGATCCGAACCCTCGGCGGGAGCACCGCCGCACTCCTAAGTGGCGCTCTGTAGCAGTGCGCCACCGGGCCGGCCCACAATTTTTTTTTTTTTAAATGACTGTTAAGTGGATCTTAACCCCTGATTTGGTGTTGTCAGCACCACGCTCTCCAATGGAGCCAACCGGCCATCCATACACAGGGATCCGAACCCGTGGCCTTGGTGTCATCAGCACCACACTCTCCCGTGAGCCATGGGCTGGCCCTACACAAATTAATTTTTAGAAACTATTTTAATTGGTTTTGAACGGGTCCACAGATGTCACCAGACTGCCAAAGGGATCGATGAACAAAAAAAGCTGTCCTCCTCAAAGATGGAAGCACATTAAGAGAGACCAGGACTGAGGAGGGATATATTAAAGAACTATTTAAAAAGTGAAAACAGTGGGCATTAAAAAAATGATTGACTATGAGGGAGCTGGAGTAATTTGATAAACAAAAAGTTTGGATGACCTGACAGATGAAGGTGCCATTAGCTGAGATCAGGAATTCAGGAAGAGAAGTTTGTTTCAGAAAGGAAGGTTAAAGAATTTGGCTTTAGAAATACTGAATACACATACACCCCTGCTTTATTAAAATGTAATTCACATACCATAAAATTCATCCATTTAAAGTGTAAAATTCAATAGTTTTTAGGATGTTCACAGACTTGAGCAAGCATCACCACAGTCAATTTGAAAACATTTTCATCATCCCCCAAAGAAATCTCATAACCATCAGCAGTCACTCCCCATTTTCTCTATGGTAGGGAGAATGGTCCTCACCTTAAAGATGTCTACATTCCCACCTCTGGAACCTGTGAGTATGTTAGGTTATGAAATAAAGAGAAATTGAAGTTGTAGGTGGACATAAGGTTGCTAATGAGCTGTCTTTAATACTAGCCTAGAGTATCCAGGTGGGCCTAATGTAGCCATGAGTTCTTAAAAGTGAAAGAGAGAATTGAAAGAGAGAAACACAGAGATGACAGCACGAGGACTTGGCCCAACATTACTGGTTTTGAAGCTGGAGTAAGGGTGACAACAAGCCAAGGAAAGTGAATGTCCTCTAGGAGCTTGAAAAGTCAAGGAAACAGATTCTCTCCTTACCTGAATGAAACGCTGAATTTAATTCAGTGAGACCCATTGAGGATTTCTAACATCCAGAACTGTATGATAATAAATTTGTGTTTTTTTAAGCCACTATTTGTGGTGATTTGTTACAGCAGCAATAGAAAATTAGTACACACACATCCCCGCCAATCCTAGATAACCATTAATATACTTTCTGACTTTATAGACTTGCTTATTTGGGCCATTTATGTCACACAGATGTCCGTCAAATCTGGGTATAAAACAAAAAAAGTCTTTATTGTTGGTAATTTTATTACAGTCTTTAGAATCATGGGAACCTGTGTGTTTAGTTAGTGGCAAGAATTGGGTATAGCTTGATTTTTTTTTCTTTTTCTTTTTTGCAGGGAGTAGGGAGAAAGGGGGATACTGTACTTTTAATATGTGCAAACCCAACAAAAACAGAGAATACCCCAGTAAGGAGAAATGTTCAATTATTCCTAGTGAATGCACACTCCAGGCAGAGAAGCAGTGTGATTTGAATTGTAATTTTAGGAGCATTAGACAAACTACATATTGCACCACTCTTCAAGCCTAGCTAACAATGCTTGTAGTTAGGTGCTCTGTTCCGTGATACTTTATTGATTTTATGCAAGTCTTATTTCTTCAGCTTAGTAATATTTTCTAAATTACTGTAGCAGGTAAATGGCAGGTGAACAATTATTGTAGGAGGTGATTCATGGGAAGAATTAGAAGTTAAATAGCATTTGCTTATTTCTTGTGTAGTCACATTTTTATAAATTAGAGTGCATTATTACTCTGTTCTCTTGATATTTAGAATTAAATTTCTCTTAGAATTTTGCAATCTGGGTTTCCCTGACCAAGACTCTAATCCAATATCCTTAGGAAAATTTGAATGGGGAGAAGGGTAGGCATCCTGAAATCCTCTTTTTGCTTAAATAGTTAGTGAGATAATTTCCACTCCCAGTCTAGAATGTCTCCCAGTGAGTTTTCAAGTTCATTAATAACAATAACTAATCAGTGTTGGCCTGTTTCCCCACCATTGTACCACCTCTAAAGAAATGTATACTAGAAAGGAAAGAAAGACCACAGTGGTGTGCTGGACTTGCAGAGGGAGAGAACAGAAATAGGGATACAAAGTGGAGTGGGAAAAGTGGGATGGGGAGGGAAGTTGGGGACAATTGAGGGGATAATTGGGTGTGGGACATGGGGTATAATCACAATTTGTGGTAATGGACATGCTGCCAGTATGGTTCTGGCCATCACATATTGGGCACGAGTGGTGACAATTTGCTTTGTATGCCATGAATATTCATAACCTAATAAAAACAAAAAAACCAAAAAGAAGTGTATACTCATACTCATGTCTGTAATGATCTCTATTATCAAACATACTATTTTAAAGCTTTGGCCACTGCTTAATTCCAGTGGGAACCACCTCTCCTTCTTGTTACCTCCTCTCCTTCTGGTTACCTCACAGCCTAAATATCCAGCTCTCCCTCTAACCCCTACACTATCTATCTTTAACCTAGACCATGAGTAATATAAGATCATGGGACCCAGGATATAGATAGATCATGGAGTGTTTACTGTTATTCCTGACTTGAAAATAGTGGGAAAATACAACTGCTTTCACAGATTTCTGGACAAAACTGGGTTTTGTCAAAAAAAACAGCCAAAACTGGGATGAAGTTATAGTGGAACTTAAGTTTTGTACACAAAGTCATTTTTGCCGTGGCTGCCAAAAAATATGTACGGTTAAACTAAATATTGCACTGCAGTAGCGATAATGACATAGGATTTAATGTTATTCTCTCCTCAAAGCTGAAAACATACTTAACAGTGAAAGAATGTCTTTCCCTCCAAGACTGGGAACAAGGTAGGTATGTCTGCTTTTACCGCTACTATTCAATGCCACATTGGGAATCCTAGAAAGTGCAAGAAAGCCAGAATAAGAAACAACAGGCACATGGATTGGAAAGCAAGAAACAAAACTGTTACTACTTGCAGGGGACATGATTGTCTACATTAAAAATCCCCAAAAATCTACAAAAAAAAAGCTCCTAGAAATTTCAATTTCCAACAATACAATTTTGATAATTTTTTAAAGTACCACTTATAACAGCATAAAAACATGAAATACTTAGTTATAAATCTAACAAAATATGTACAAGATATGTACACTGAAAACTACCAAATAACAAAAGAAATGAGAGACCTAATTAATGGAGAGATATGCTGTGTTCATCAATTGGAAAAGTTAATATTGTTAAGATGTCAATTCTCCCCAAATCGATCTATAAATTCAAAGCAATCCCAATCAAAATCCCAGCAAGACCTTTTGTAGAATTCAATAAGCTGGTTTTTACTGTATGGTAATCATACAATAAAGCTGAAGAAAAGCAGTTGAGAAGGGAGGGATTACTCAATAAATTATACTGGAACATTTAGATATCCCAATGGGAAAATAAAATTAGATTCTTACCTATACTATTACTAAAATAAATTCCAGGTGGACTAAAAACCTACATGAAGCAAATGTAAAACTTTCTAAGTATGGGTGGTATGATTTCTACAAATGAGCTTCATCTTGGCTGCCCCCCATGTCTTGACAGCTGAACCCTGTAATAGATGCCTCAACAAGGGGCTGGGCAACCTGTGCTCCAGCGCTGCCAGCAGATGGACACAGCAGCTCCAGAGGCATCTCAGATGGCCATCTTGTGTTTGTACCCCCTTGCAACCTACCTGGACATAACACCCAACTGACCATGATTACCATTTCAAATCCTGTGTTTTCCCTTAACCAGCTCCCCCCTCCCACAAACTTGAGCTGATACTAAGGATGAGATTCTGCCGTGGGTGCTACTGGAAGCCCAGACATTCCATGAAGATGTGCTATTTTCTGCTAGAGGCCAGGAATACAGCTAAACATCCTTCAATGCACAGGACAGCCTCCCCCGCAAATTATCAGGTCGCAAATGTCAATGGTGCCGAGTTTGAAAAAACCCTGCTTCAGACTAAGAACCAAGGTGATTTCCTTAGTTATAAAAGCCCCCTAACCAGACATGCTATTCTAGATATTATAATGATAAATGCCAAGCATTTAAATGCAAACATGAGTAATGAAAACGATATAAGTTTTGCAGACCAACAAATTAGGGAATGACAAAGGGCATATTTTGAAAATAATTTTTAGACTAGGAGAAATAACGGGTACAAATCTAGGCTAATGGATTTCTAAATGTCAATAGAAAGTTATAAATTGTCAACATTGGCTCAAGAAGAAATAGGCAATGTAATTGATCAATGCCATACAAAGAACTGATAAAGTTCTCTTTACCTCTACCCCCAACAAAAGCAACTGGCTCAGGGAGCTTCATAGGTGGATTTCTTTCCAACATCCAAAGAACAGGTAACTGTTAGACTGTTCAAACTGTTCCAGAACAAAGAGAAGAAACAGCCTCTGAACTATTTTTAGTGAACTGGTATGACAAAGACTGGTATGACAAAGATGGAAAAAAAAAATAGAGGGCAATCACACTTAAAGATGCCAATAGCCTAAACATGTTAACAAATACAATCCAGCAGGACATAAAGAAATTTAAAAGATGATATCCAACTAAGATTAAGAATATAAGGATGACTCAATATTAGTAAAACATTAATGTAATTCATTACATAAGTAGGTCAAAAATATCATCTTGAAAGATCTTATATAAGATATAAGGGCCGGCCCGTGGCTCACTTGGGAGAGCGTGGTGCTGACAACACCAAGTCAGGGGTTAAGATCCCCTTGCCGGTCATCTTTAAAAAAAAAAAAAAAAGAATAGTAAACCCTTAAAGGGCCGGCCTGTGGCTCACTTGGGAGAGCATGGTGCTGATAACCCCAAGTCAAGGGTTAAGATCCCCTTACCAGTCATCTTTAAAAAAAAAAAAAAAAGAATAGTAAACCCTTAAAGGGCCGGCCTGTGGCTCACTTGGGAGAGCATGGTGCTGATAACCCCAAGTCAAGGGTTAAGATCCCCTTACCAGTCATCTTTAAAAAAAAAAAAAAAAGAATAGTAAACCCTTAAAGGGCCGGCCTGTGGCTCACTTGGGAGAGCATGGTGCTGATAACCCCAAGTCAAGGGTTAAGATCCCCTTACCAGTCATCTTTAAAAAAAAAAAAAAAAGAATAGTCAACCCTTAAAAAGAAGTATTTCATTTGCTACTCAGTTTCTAATAGGAATGGATGCTGAATTTTTTATCTTTTTTTTGTTTTTTTTTTAAAGATGACTGGTAAGGGGATCTTAACCCTTGACTTGGTGTTATCAGCACCATGCTCTCCCAAGTGAGCCACAGGCCGGCCCTTTAAGGGTTTACTATTCAATACATTCATCTTCCCTATTGAATACTCATTGATAGAGATTTAGTTTTATGATAACTTCAAATTTTCAATAAAGTGCTTAAATTTAAGCCATAACTTCCATCCATTCAGGATGCCTGAATGTTGACTTGGTTTAAATAAGGGTTAATGGCTTTTCCACATCAAAATACTTGAGCGTTTGCCTGCGTGTGAACCATCAGAATCCCAGCTACAGCCTTTCCAACACAGCACACACATGAAACATTCTTCATAATATGGACTCTATGCCAAATCAGATGATGTTAACTCTAAAGGCTTTAAAACATATGAAACACTGAAATGGCTCTATATCAATTAGGATTCTGTTACAAGTGACAGAAAACACAAATCAAAACAAACGAATTAACTGATTCATGTCACTGAAAAAACCAGAGGTAGGTTTAGTTCTTTCCATCTCTCAGTCTCTCATGTGCAGGGTTGGCTAACTACTCAGCCTTCGTGTGGATCATAGCTAACATCCAATACCAGCAGAAAAGAATGTCACTTCCTGGTAGAGTTTGCATGGTCACAGGGTCCATTCTGATTGAATAAATGGGTCATCACTATGGCTTGGCAAAAGGAACAGTGTAGATAGGACAGACTAGGCATATGCTCCATTCTTGAAGTGGGGAACAAAGCCCCACCTAAAACACACGAACTACTGAGTGGGGGTGGAGGGGTTTCCCCCCAAAAAGTAGGGCAGTAACTACCATGAAAAGGGGGTAAAAAATGCTGGGAGGCCAAAAGAACCAACGTCAAGCACAGGCTTCTCTCTAGAGCAGGCAAACTCATGATGGTGCAGCTGGGAAGAAGACCTAAAGGTTTTCCCACAATTGCTACACTCATAGGGTTTCTCTCCACTGTGGGTTCTCCGATGCTGACTTAATGTGGATTTAATGGTGAAAGCTCTTCCACTAATTACACTCATAAGGTTTCTCCCCAGTGTGGATTCTCTTATGTATAACCAATTCAGAACTACTAGAGAAGCCATTCCCACATTCCTTGCAGAGATAGGGTCTGTCCCTACTGTGGATTCTCTGATGCCTGATCAGATTTGCACTATTATTAAAGGCTCTCTCACACTCTTCACACTGATAGGGTTTCTCTCCAGTGTGGATACTGTGATGCCGAATTAATGAAGAATTGCCATTAAAGGATTTTTCACACTTCTCACATGGATAGAGTTTCTCCCCAGTGTGGATTCTCTGGTGTCTAATGAAGAAAAAAAGCTGAAGCAACTCCCACACTCCTCACATCTGAAGGGCTTCTGGACATAGTGAATTCTCTCATCCTTTCCTTTAGTATTTTTCACTGTGGGGATTTCCTGATGTTTCCCCACTTGACAAGCTTTTGGAAAGTCATTTTCCTGAGAAATACTCTTTGGCAGCCCAAGTGACATCATCACACCTCTTTCTTCAGAAATTCCCTGTGTTGATGTGGACTCACTGTCAATGTTGGTCTCAGCATCTGACATAAGAAATAGAAAACACAAACGCCACCTGAGAATTATACTAGAAACAATAGAGCACTGAAAGTATAGGGCTTTTAGAGATTACTATTCCAGTCTCCATGTCAGCAAGCCAGAAACACAAAGCTATTAACATGGAAGTGCCAAATATCGCAGAGGCAGAAAACAGTAAAGGTGGACCAGGAAACTGGATTTTTAACCCCAGGTCACTATACTTTCCAACACAGAAGATTGCTTCCTAACTTCTCCAGAACTATGTATTCCTAATAACTTGTGACTTCATAGTACTTAAATGCCTGGAAATTCACAGAGTCTAAGACCAAGAGGCAACTCCTGACAAGCTACAAGAATTGAGTGTACACCCTATAACTGTTAGAAACTGTTGAGCCTATGCACTGTTGTCAGACTCAAAAGTGTCTGCTGGACTACTTGGGAAGGAAAGAGCACAGTTTGCTTAGAGACCCAGGAGACTGTATAGTACCTTTTCACAATGAGGAAAATGGAAATCCAAGATGGGAGAAAGACATTTGTTACAGAATGTCCAATGGTATTTGTATTTCTAAAGACTGGATGACATTTTAACTAAGTTAGTTTAAATTTAATACATTTTTAAAATCATGAGTTAAATTTCATATTCAAGGATTAACTTTCATTTTTTGCTCTTTTGTTTAATATTTGTATACTAATAACAGATTGGTAGCATTTTTATGCCCTTATGCAAATAAAACTATGTTCTGAATGCCTGCTTTATTTTTCCTTTTCTTCACAAATTAGCTAACCTTGATTTTAAAGCACTAGAATAAAAGCTCCATGAGAGCAAAGGCTTTGTTTTCTTTCCTGCTGTTTCTCCAGTGCCTCAAACAGTTCCTGGCACAAAGTAGACACTAAATAAATATAATAAATGATTGAATAAATATATGTTACTACATGCAAGATAGGCATAAGCAGAACAGTTCTCTGGGTAATCTTGGAATGACCCAGTTCTCTCCCCTTTCTTGTTTGCACTTCTCAAGAATAACTATAGAATGTGCTGGAAAGGCAACATCCTGAGATGGGGGAACTGGCCAGAACAGCCTGTGCTCTGTTCCAGCCCTCCCCCGACCCCAGAGCAGGATGTCCTTCAGTGCTTTAGCCCAGTGATTCATGTTGCCTTAGGGTATAAAACCCAGGGTGAGCTGCTTTCTGGGATCCCTAACCTGTGGTGAAAGTGGGGCACTTGAAGAGAAGACTCCATCCACCTGGGCAGCTTTCCTGAGCCTTGGGGGACTGGATTGCAATGAATCCTAGGCTTCTGTTGTCCCTTGTTGCCTTTCTGTAAGTAATAAACCCACCTCATGTACCTCATTGTTTTGGGGGGGATGTGGGGGGGGTTCTGTCTCACGAGACTCAGACAAGTTGGTAAAACAGTGAACCTGCCTCACAGTATACAACTTATGTACCATAATAATAAAATTACTTTCTCTCAAAAGTAACTGCCACAGTATACAACTTATGTACCATAATAATAAAATTACTTTCTCTCAAAAGTAACTGGCCCCGGGTTATAACATCATGGCTGACAAGTTCTATTTTAACAGCAGTGGGGGGAGGTTATCTGGGACTTAGAGGAGTAGGCTTGTTGAAATGGGGAATGTTGGGAAACAGGAGCAGAGAGACAGCTGAAATTGTGAATAAACAAGGTAAATAAAAATCTGAAAAACAGTGACCCAAACAATGGAGAGCTTGGAGGTCAATTCTCATATACCTTTCTCTTTTCTGTTATAGGGCAAGAAGCAAGCATCACAAAATCAGGATTAGAATAGATGACAAAGAAACCCCCTTTCCCCTGCGGCCCTATAACTCTAACATTCATATTGATCAGGCTCCCCAGGGCAGTTTTTGCAAGGTTTCCTGAACTTCCAACTTGCCCTGAACTCCCAACTGCTCCCACTGCCTAACTAGTCTAACACCTCTTCCTTGCTGTGAAAACCAAGGTTGCCTCGAATGTGCTCCTCAACCTCCTTGCCCTCCACTCCCACACGGCAGCGCCCCATCTCCTACCTTCCCTACAAGTCTCACCCTTCCCTCACCATGATGCCAGCTCTTCCTGTTCCTTTAGGATGAAACTCCATCAGGTACATCCTCTCCCCTTCTCACCCTTAACCTTTTCTTACATTAGATATTGAGGTGCACTGGAAGATAATTATCTTTCCTAGGCTAGTTTTTTTTCTCTTTTTAATTGTCTGTGAACCACTAACGGGTCATGAGACAAATGTAGTAGATTGTGAGCAAAAACTTTTCTAAAAAGTGAAATAGGTCAGAATAGATTTGAACAGAGAATTAATAAGAAGTACCAGAAGTCAGAGCACCGGGAAAGCTAAGTATTCATCTGAAACTTTGGTTTCAAGTATATACAGAAGAGTATACGCTGGGATGTGAAATAAAATGTATTTCTTACTGCATGTTATAGTAAAGTTTGCAAAACATTGCCTTAAGCTACTATTTAGTCTTTCCCTTCATTCCTAAACCTCACAAGAGAAGAATCTGTACTGTAGTGCTGCCTCAGCGCGTTCCCTTCCCACTGACCTCCCGACGGCCTTATTCTCTGCCGCACGCGGTCTTCCTTGAAGAGCCCTTAGCTTCAGTTTCTCTCATCTTTTCTTGTTGGTGCTCTTAGTCTCAGTTATCTCTACTTCCACCTCCTCTCTCCTTAACCCTAACTATTCCTAAAGATTCTGTTTTCCATCCTCTTCTTTTCTCTATTCAGGGGAAATTTCAGCTAAATAGAGTCTGTTATATAGAGCAGGTTTTCTCAACCTCAGCACCACTGACATTCGGGGCTAGATAATTCTTCTTTGTAGGGAGCTGCCCTATGCACTGTAAGATGTTTAGCACCATCCCTGATAAAGTAGCATACCCTTTTCAGTTTGAACAACCAAAACTGTCTTCAGACACTGCCAAATATCCCCAGGGGGGAGGGAGGTGCGAAATTGCCCCGAGTTGAGAATCACTGATGTAGAGGACTCCCATATATACCGGGTGACCATAAAGTCTGGAAGAAACATAAAAATAATATATTTCTTAATAGATTAAAGATGTACTTGACACCATTATGTGTGTTTGCCCATGTTTCCAGACTTTGTGACAGCCTGCTATCCCCAGGGAGGTGTGTGTCCCAAAGAAACCTCATCTTCGCTGTAAAAGCTGTTCTTATATCATGACTTCCTTTTGTTGTATGACTCATTTACACTTTTACTGCTGAGCTTTGTCAGTGCTACCGCCACTCTCCTCACAGTGCTTTCTACTCCTGTCTACCCTGTCTGCATCCTTCATGGGCTTCCAAAGTTACAACTGGAACATAATAACGATGTGACAAAGCTTTATGCCTTCAATTTTCCCTCAGTCCAATCAAACCCCATACTATGTTGAATGAGAATTTTGAAAACATAGCCATTACAGGCCTATGTCACTAGTGGTAAGGTCACTGTGGGGTCACTGCTTCTTTTCAACACTCTGTTTTTGTCTGTTCTTCCATTTCCTGTTCCCATGCCTTGAGTTCCCTAGGACAGAACTTTTCAGGTGTGCCATACTGTATTCCAGATTTCCCACACGCACTGACACTGTTTACACATGGCTGGCTAAGTAAGGGTACTGAAGGGCGTGCTCTGTAGTAGAGCAGAGCTGTCCGAAAGACATACACAATAGCAGCTTTAAATGGAAGTCATGTTATATAATTTTAAATTTTCTGGTAGCTACGTTAAAAAAGTAAAAAGAAAACGGTGAAATTAATTTTAATAATATATTTTATTTAAACCAATACATCCAAAATAGTATCATTTATCATTTCAACATGTAGTTGACACATAAAAAATTATTCAAGTGATAATTTATTTTTTTTGTAATTTTTGCACATTTTTGTACTAAGTCTTCAAAAGCTGGTATACATTTTATACTTATAGCATATCTCAATTTGAATTAGCCTCATGTCAAGTACCTAACAGTTTAATAGGCCTATGTAGCTAGTGGCCACCATATTAACAGCACAGAAGTAGAGAAAGTCCTGCTGGTACTCTTAGTCCTAAGCCTTATGCTCTTGGATCCTTAGTAGGAAAGACAGAAGAATGAGTGCTTGCAGGTGGGCCCCAGAAACATCCATTTCTAAATATGCTCCCATGATTCTCCTGCACATTAAACCATAAAGCACTTCACAATTATATTTGTGATCTATATGGAAGGTAAGTAGTGATATCTCATAGTGGTTTTAAATTGCATGCCCCTGATGGCTAATGAAATCAAACATCTTTTCATGTCCTTTTTTGCCACCTGTATACCTTCTTTGATGAAATGTCTATTCATACATTTTGCTCATTTTCTAACTGGATGGTTTGTACTGTTGACTTTTATTTATATATTCTAGATACTAGTCCTCTGTCAAATATTATATAATGTCAGAAGTTATACTGGATCTTCTGTTCCCTTCCTTTAACCAGACTACATTCCTTTTCTCCCATCTACAAACCATTCTTATCTGCTGAGCTCAGAACAAATAGCCCTGCCACTCAAGCAGCATTACTTGACTTCTTTTTTTTTTTTTTTTTTTTTTCTCACTATAAAGCTTTGTATAGACACTCTTGTTTTATTAACTATTTTCAAAATGCCCCAAACAGGGGCTGGCCTGTGGCTCACTTGGGAGAGTGTGGTGCTGATAACACCAAGGCCACAGGTTTGGATCCCTACATAGGGATGGCTGGTTTGCTCACTTGGGAGAGTGTGGTGCTGACACAACCACGTCAAGGGTTAAGATCCTCTTACCAGATATCTTTTGAAAACAAACAAACAAACAACAAAAAAAAAACTCCCAAAACTACAAGACCCCTTCATTTCCACAGGATAACAGCCATCTTTTACCCAATTACGTCCTTTCTCCCTCCAAATTGGTTATGATCACACTTCCTCAGATTGGCCAACTATATTTAGATGTGAAGGAAAAGGAGTGACAGGTGGTCACTGGTCAAAAGAAACACAGATGCAGAGGTGTTTCAGGTCAGTACTAGAGAGTTTCACAACATTCCAGGGTTTTGACTGCTTCAGTGGCAAATTCTCTTTCCTACTGTCATGCTAAGAATGGTTCAGCTTCAGCGGGCCATACGGGCCTTCACAATTGTATTAAGACTCTCTCTTTAGAAAAGACATGGGTGTAGTTTTGCAGGCTGGGAAATCCAAGGTCAAGAGGTACATCTGGTGAGTGCCTTATTTGAGGGAACTCTACAGAGTCCTGTGGCCACATCGAAGGATATCACATGGTAGGGGTTGAGCGAGTCTCATTACGTGACTTCTAAAGTGGAATTACTCTAACCCTGCTTCCGCCATGCTGCCACAGCCTACTGCTTATATACCAACAACAGCACTTAACACGTTCTCTTTCTTAGCTCTTGACATCTGCCTCTATAACCACTATCCTCCAGAGCTTCTTAAACAAGGTTTGGCACAGCAAGTGCCCAAAAACAGCAAACCACATATCTGACAAAGGACTACAGTTGCCGGTCCTAAACCTGTCTCACTTACCTTTACAGATGTCTCTGGTCCTCTCTGCAGGGGGAGTATCCTGTACCTCCAGGCCCCAAGGCAAATCCCCTCCCTCCAGAAGTGAGATCAGGGAAAGTTTGCAAACTGGGTATCCTAAAAAGGGGGAAGGAAATGGGGCTGGAAGTGCAGTCTGACATCAATGTTCCTAAGGTACCTTGTGGTCCTGTGTCCACAGAGACAAGAGAAGGAAACCCCAAAGTGGCTCAGTAAGGATAAGGCCCACAGAAGTGGGCTGGGGTATAGGGAAGCCCAAGAAGATTCTGATCAAAAGGAAACTGAGCATTTGTGACCTCTTCCTGAAATGTCACTCAGAGAGGGCTTGTTATCGAGATCCTGTGAGACCCACACAAGTGCAGGGAAGGAGTGACAGAAGTCCTCCTTAAGCTTCTGAGAAAGCTGAAGGAAGCCGAGAACTTCAACAGAAGATGCTTCCTTCACACTGTTGCCCTGCAGAGAGCCCCTATGATGGGAAGTGTTCTCACCAGAGAAGAGCCTGACCCACATGAGACCCAAACTAACCTCAGGCCTCCCCCCCCCCACTGACATCCTCTGGGGCTGAAGGATTAGGAATGTTTTCCCCCCAAATATGCGGAAGGTTATTAGATTCATGCAACGATCCACCCCTACCCTTGTCCTATGAGTCTAACTCCCAAAGGCAAAGTGGCCTTACCCAGGGAAGTCAAGTTCGCATAACTGGTCAGCATCGCTTCCCCGTACAGGACCCTCTGTGCAAGAGAAAGGCCAGCCCATTCTGTCTGGGTGAAGTACACAGCCACATCCTCAAAGGTCACCATCTCCTTAAACAACAGGTTCCTGCTGCCCCAGAGCCAATCCTCTGGCTCCGGGCCAGAGTGCAGGGGAGAGGGGACAGGAGGCTTGAGGGAGGGTCCTGCGAGGCTGGAAAATGAAAGAAGGGTGCAAGCATGTAGCGTTGTGTGCTAGTGAATGATTACATCTGAAACTATAAGTCAGAAGTTCCTCTTATTGTCAGAGGAGCTTCAACCTGCGCACACAATGTCCTACCACAAAAGGCAGCATCACATTATAGAAAAATTGGAACAGAGGGCCTGCCTGTGGCTCACTTGGGAGAGTGCGGTGCTGATAACACCAAGGCCGCGGGTTCGGATCCCTACATAGGGATGGCCGGTTAGCTCACTTGGGAGAGCGTGGTGCTGACAACACCAAGTCAAGGGGTAAGATCCCCCTACCGGGCCTCCTTTTTTTTTTTTTTAAAAAATGGCGGGGAGGGGGTATTTACCCCCTTGACTTGGTGTTGTCAGCACCACGCTCTCCCAAGTGAGCTAACCGGCCATCCCTATGTAGGGATCCGAACCCGCGGCCTTGGTGTTATCAGCACCGCACTCTCCCGAGTGAGCCACGGGCCGGCCCCCCTTTTTTTTTTTTTTAAAAAATGGCGGGGAGGGGGTATTTACCCCCTTGACTTGGTGTTGTCAGCACCACGCTCTCCCAAGTGAGCTAACCGGCCATCCCTATGTAGGGATCCGAACCCGCGGCCTTGGTGTTATCAGCACCGCACTCTCCCGAGTGAGCCACGGGCCGGCCCCCCTTTTTTTTTTTTTTAAAAAATGGCGGGGAGGGGGTATTTACCCCCTTGACTTGGTGTTGTCAGCACCACGCTCTCCCAAGTGAGCTAACCGGCCATCCCTATGTAGGGATCCGAACCCGCGGCCTTGGTGTTATCAGCACCGCACTCTCCCGAGTGAGCCACGGGCCGGCCCCCCTTTTTTTTTTTTTTAAAAAAAAAAAAAAAAAAAAGGAAAAAAGGAAAAAAGAAAAACTGGAACAGAGCAAGTCTGTGTGAAGTCACTTTCCTAAAGCAAACTCACTTCATGTTTGCATGTGCCCTCCCGAGACTCTGCACAAGCACATGATTGGCCTCCAACTACCCTTCTCACTGGTAACATCTCAGGACTTACCTGCTATCTGTCCTCACTTCACTGGCTGAGGGCCTGGCCATCCATCCTGCTCCCCACACGTATACTGAGCCCTGCTCTGTTCCCACAGCTACCTGCTCCACCCCAATCCCCACACCCACATACCAAGAATAGAGCCATGGTTTGTCCAAGTGGGCCTCTGTCTTCTGCACCCCTCCTCTGATGCCTGAACCCTGTTGTGCCACCCAACACCCCCAATCCCCTAACAAAAGGCAGCTGTGCGGCCTCTGCTCAAGCACCTCTGGCAGAGGAGCCTCAGTGCTGCCTGAACAGCCCACTCAACTGCAGATAGCCTCCGTAGGAGAAGGTGCTTCCTGATTCTAATTGCTGCTAGGTGGCTCTTTATACCTCTCAGATAATCTGTCCTCTGCCAACCAAACCTGCCTGCCCACCTCAACTCCACCGTCCCGGACAGCACCCTGATCTGGGCACTCTCGCCTCTTTGGTGACTTCCCTGTGCAGCAGTGATCCACCTGCCTCCTCACTCCAAGGTCTCATGTGGTTCTGGCACTAGTCACAGCACTACCTCAGATGCCCTGGTGACCTTCTTGCCAGTGACATTCCTGATGTGTCTGAGCCACAAGCCTGTACTGAACCTACCTTCCTCTCTAAACTGGCTCCTTGGCTCCTCTTCCTCCTATTCATATGAACTGCGCAGTACCAGGAGAAACAATTAGTAAGTGCTCAGACATGATGTTGGCTATTATTTTTATTCCCTGTCTCAGTTAGCAGCACTACTTATAATCTGGTCTCCTAGCTAGAAACCCGAGAATCATTCTTACCTCTCACCCAGTCACTGCTCAGTTCTGACAATAAATCACTAATCAAAACCTGCCAGTTACATCTCCTAATAAGTTCTGAATCTGATTCTTATTTACCACCACTAGTTACCACATAATTCAAGTCCTCAGCAACTGATCCTTGAACCAATGCAACAGTACATAAGGTCAAGCTCATCCTCCAAATCCACCTTCTGTCCAGCACACAGAATGATTTTTCTGAAATGCCAATCTGACCCTTAACTCTGTTGGTTAAAATACTTGAATGGATCACCACAGAACAACAAACTTAAATCCAAGATCCTGAGCCTGAGCTCTCATCTTACATCAACAAATGTAAGATGACTGGAGGGCACAAGATTGGAGACAAAGGAAATAGCTGGGAGGCTCTGAGGACAAGGTCCTAAAGAAGGGATGATAAAATCATAAGGAGAGCCTTACAAAAAAGGAGACAAATGGGTGCTGAGAAAGGAATAGGATTTGGATTGAATGTACAAGGGGACAAGGGAGAATGAAAAGTCAAAAATGGCTCAGAAATCTAAACACAGTGACCCAGATGGTGACACGGTGATACAGCAATTGGTAGGAAATGCAGGAGTGGGGTGGAAGGTACTAAAGAAGACAATGAACTGCAGTTCTAATGTGAGATTAGGCTGTGGGCAGGGAGATATTAAAGGGAAGGAGCACACTGACAGCGGTAATCTGTGACAGGTACTGGTGGTCTTTGGAGATAAGATCACAGATGCTGAGATGTGAGACAGAGAAGACTCAAGAAGACAGAGACCCAAGCAACACTCAGCAACCCATTAGTCTGCAGAGCTGAAAGGCACTTGGCAAAATATTTTTCCCTAGTTGGGAATGAACTGCATTGTTGCCATCGGACAAAGGAAGTCAGCTGAGACACAAAGAGGTTACGTGACTACATGACTGGCTCAAAGTCACGATGCCACTGAAGGCTGATGGGAAATCTAATCTGAAATTAAATTTCCTGCCACCTAGTACCAGGTTTCATACTGCAGCATGCTGCTTCTCTCAACCAGCAGTACTGACTCTGAAGGAAGACATATTCGTGCTGTTCCTGGACCAATTTTTTTCCTCAATGATCCCAAGCCCCCAACTTCTACCTTGTTTTGGGAGGACAAATATTATAGGCTCCCTTTTTCTTGACTTTTTTGCTCTCGTTCCTCTGCCACCACTTCCCAAGAACCTTGTGACCTTGCTAATCTCGATCACTCCCATTCTATACTGGATCCCTATATCACCAGCCTAAGTCCTTCATTCTCAGGTATCCCTGTGCAGCATTGGGGATGCTTCTGAACGTGGGGACCCTCCAGCCCAGCAGAGGTCCACAGTGCTAGAGGCTGTACTTCTGCTTTCTCTATCCATCACTCCCTAGGCCCTGGAGTCTCTGGCTGCTTAGCCCTTACGCTCAGCTCTCCCTCCTCAGCATCTAGACCCACTGGAGAGATGAACAAGGGCTTTCCTACTGCTTTGGCTTTAGGTACGTCCTCATCACCATACATCACAACCCCCATTTCCTTCAAATCGGATCTAAGGCTGACCTGAGGGATCCACAACTCACCTAGTGCCAGGTTTTCAGGGCTATGGCTGCCATCACCTGGGCTTCCTCTCAGGGAAGGGCAGGGGCTAAAGGAAGAAGCAAAGAGAACCAAGCGAGTTGCTGTGGTTTTTCCCTGCCAAAACTCATTTTGAAATGTATTGCCAATGTAACAGTGCTGGAAGGTGGTGCCTTTAAGAGGTGATTAGGTGGATAAAGTAGATTAATGTCTTTCTCAGAAGACTGGGTTAGTTTTTGTGGGAATCCCCGTGACAGCGAGTTGTTATAAAGCAAGGGTGCCTCTCGTGGTTTGGCCTTTTGGCACACACCTGCTTCCCTGCCATGTTATGATGCAGCATGAGGCCCTCACTGGAAGCCGAGCAGATGCCAGTGCCATGCTTCTGGGACTTCCCAGTCTCCAGAATCATGAGCCAAATAAACCTCTTTTCTTTATAAATTACCCAGTCTCAGGTATTCTGTTATAGCAACACAAAACGAACTAGGACATGAGTCCTGCCCAGTCAATGTCTTTCCTATAAACTTGCAAACCCGTGTTAGCTGCTAATAAGAACAGCCAACAGTCACTGACAGCTTACAGTGTGCCAGCCTCAGAGCGCAGCACCTCACATTCATTAAAATACTAGCAGATATGTAATACTATTGTCCTCATTTTACCAAGGCAAGGAAATAAGGCTTAGAAAGTTGAGGTAATTGTCTTAGCCACAGGGTTTGTATTCATAACCACTAGGGAATGCTTTCTTCCCCAGGTAAAACACAGGTAAATTGTGCCACAGAAATCGTGGGGTGAGGTGGGAATTACTCTGGTCAAGGAAATTTAAGAAGAGGAATTAACCAGGTCAACAGGGGAATTTTTACCAAAGGAACCACATGTTCTAGAAGTAAAAGGCCAAGAAAACTGTAGTAGAGCCAGCTGTGCTGCAAGAGGGAGGGCGAAGAAGCTGTGAGATGGCAGGCTACGTCGGGCCTTGTGTACGTAAAAAACCTTGCTCTTCTGCCTAGAAGCAATGGAATCATTATGAGCCGGGGCAGAGGCAGGGTCAGAATTTATTAATACTGTCTTTCCCGTTGGGCTCCAAGTTCACACGTATCTCATTCAGTTGCGTGCCAGGAACCTGGAACAACACCGCGCTTAGTAGGCTCTAGATAAGATAACGGACTGAATGAACGGCGGGCTTCGGTGGTCGGGTGGGTCACACGGGGCCACACCTGCCACCTGCGGCCCACATCCACAGTCCCCATTTCCCAAAGCTGCCACAGCAGAAGAGTGAAGGGGTCCGAGGAAGGGCGGGCCTGCCCCGCAGACCACCCCGCTCGCCCGGTCCTGGCGCCTCCGCCCGACTCCCTCCGCGTTTCGGCCTCCCCGAGGCCGCGGAAAGCGACAGCAGCCTCCTGCCGGGGTAAGCGACGCCGCCGGTCCCGGCCGCTGGGCAGGAGCGCCCCCACCCGGCACTCACCTCCGGCGGCGCGCGGCGCGGCGCTCCGGAAGTGCGTCATCGCGCATCGCTTCCTTTCCTCGGGGACGCCTGAGCTTTTCGGTGGTCCTCTCCCTTTCCCGGGGCCGACCCCCTGTGAGGAGGGAGATACCTTCTCTCTGCGGAGTGTATGGCGGCCCGGCTGTTCAACCTTCGGAAGCAAAAGGATGAGCTCTAGCTCACGATGAGCTCTAGCATCTGGGGATTCTCTGACTTGACGGCACTCACGCTGGATTCGGGTCATGGTAACTGCAATGTGAAGAGTGGATTTAAGTTGGGCACGAGAGCAGTTAGGAGTCTACGTAAAAGGCCCCGTCACGGTAATGAAGAGCTGAATCAAGGCAATACTGTTTACAATTCTTTGCCATGAATGTCTCTCACAAGCTAGTCTCTAACAAGAAACAGCTGCCAAGTGTAGATGCACTCAAGCACGTTTACATGAATCACGTATACATTTGCTCAGCCTTCTTGTTGGTACCTCTGTAGAAATGAATCTTTTCCATTACACGAGATCAGCATCCAAGCTGCTTTAAAATCGCTGTTTATTCTGTCTCAGTGCCCTGTCTTGACAAAGAACAAAATGTTCTGAGATACGCCTTCTTCACATCAAGATTACTCCATTATTCCAATGAGAAAACTGAGTCCTCGTGGCCGGCCCGGTGGCGCACTGCTACAGTGCGCCGCTTGGGAGTGCAGGGGCACTCCCGCCAAGGGTTCAGATCCCACATACAGACCGGTTCCCGCTCACTGGCTGAGCGAGGTGTGGGCGCGATGCCGAGGGTTGCGATCCCGTTGCTGGTCCCGGTCCGGTACGGGCGCGACACTGAGGGTTGTGATCCATTGCCAGACACGAAAAAAGACAAAAAAAAAAAAAAGAAGAAAACTGAGTCCTAGAAACATGAGACAAGTCCGAGATCTCAGTGATGTAGGCTTCTTGGCCACCTTTGTACTATAACCCTGACTTCTATTTCTGCGTGCCACTACTTCAATTTAGTCACTGGGCACTAATGTTTCTTGAGATTCTGCAAATCCTTCCAGTGCCACTTCTCCACAGACAGATAAATAAGATGTCCTGATGAAGTTGGACTGTAAGCTCTGTAATTCAGTTCAAATTAAACTAGGTAGGAGAAACACAAAGGGGACTCTAGGGAGAATTTGGTCTGGCTATTGCTCTGGATAGAGCCAGAAGGTCTCTTCTGGGGGCTTCTGGCTTGGCGGGGCTTCTGGCTTGGCAGAGCTTCAATGAAGAGTTGTTGCACTCTGGCTTCCAGGGAAGGGCAGGGAATCCACTGACATTCTTAGAGGCTCAGGAACAAGGCCATTAGTTAGGTCCTTTAGGATTACTGGGGGTGGGGGGCTTAGGGGGGTGGCAGGATTGAGGGTAGAGATGGTTAACTAAGTAATGCTGCAATACAGGAGAGCTTCCAGTTTACACTTGTAATACCCACAACTTAATGGCTTTCATTTTTTTTCTCCCTATGTGGATTCTATGGTGATGACATTTATACTGTATCTGAAACTTTCCCATCAGATTGTTTCCCAGATTAGTGATTGCTAGAAGTCAAGGGTGTTAAAAGATAAACTTAGGCATACTGAAATTCTGAAGAGTTTATTTGAACATTCAGCAATTCATGAACTGGGCAGCACCAGACCACAATCAGTTCCTTGCTCCACCAAGGGGGCAAGAGGGGGAAACTTTTATAAGGTGTTCAAGGAGCAAGGCAAAGAAAATATTTGATTGGTCAAAGTGGAAAGTCCCTAGTTAGAAGTTAATTGGCAATTAACCTCTAGTAGAGGTTAATTGGTAGTTTCTGATTGGTTAAGCTCAAGTTTTGTTTTGCTGCTCACATTGAGTTGGTCCTCAGCTTGCTTACATAAGAACCCAAGGCGCTGGAGCCATCTCTGCCTAATGGCCTCCCAATTAATTTTTTTTCATGAGGATCAAGGGAGTATGTGAGTACAAAGGGGCGGCAAAAGGGAGTTTTACTGAGGTGATAGAACTGTTCTACATCATGATTGCAGTGGTGATGGTTACATGATTGTGCAATTGCCCCTTCATAGACCTGTACAGCCAAAAAGAGTGCATTTTAATGTATGTAAATTTAAAATGAATTGTAAATGGAAGTATACATTCTTATAAAAAGAATAGGTAAGCATAGAAAGTTCAAACACTATAACGAAAGTATAAAAGAACAACGTCAAAGTTACTGGAAACCCCACAACACTTAAATTTTTGGTAAATACTTTTTCAGAAACCTTTCTATGCATATATATTTGTACACATATTAGATTATTTCGAAGACAATTTTATATAAAATAGTATTGTAGTATATGTATTCAAGTTCTATAGCTGTCATGAGATATGAAGTTTGTCTCCAGCTAAGATCACATCTTTGCTTAGCTTCTCTCCCCTTGTCCTATCTTGCTCTGTTCACTCCTCCTCTCCTAAGAGCACTCCTTCAATTAATCACTTGCACAAGAATTCCCATCTCAGATTCTGCTAAAAGATAATATGAATATTTCTATGAATTTTTTGAAGTATCCTTATATTATTCATCAATAAAGAGAAATGAGCTATCAAGCCATAAAAAGACATGGAGAAACTTTAAAGGCATATTGCTAGATTAAAGAGTCCAACCTGAAAAGGCTACGTACTGTATTATTCCAATTATATCACATTCTGGAAAAAGCAAAACTATAGAGCGGGTAAAAATATGGTTCCTGGGGTTTGGTGGGGAGGGGAAGAGGGATGAATAGTTGGAGCACTGGGGAATTTTAGTGCAGTGAAACTATTCTGTATGGTATTGTAATGGTGAATACATGACACAATGCATTCGTCAAACCCATAGAACTGTAGAATACAAAAAGTGAACCTTAGTGTAAAGTATAGACTTTAGTTAATAATGATGTATCAATATTGGTTCATTAATTTTAAAAAATTTACCTCACTAATGAAAGATGTTAAAAATAGGGGAAACTCTGTGGGAGGAGGGGGCATATATGGGAAATCTGTAATATATGCCCCATTTTCTTGTAAAAGTAAAACTCTTCTAAAAAAAGAATCTGATCCAAAACAGATATCATACTCTGCACACTATTCTGTAATTTACTTTTTCAGTCAACAAGATGTGACATTTTTAATGTCAATAATGATTCTCATTATTGTTTTAAATGGCTCTATAGTATTCCCCAGCATTTACAGTAATTTATGTAATCACTTATTGATGGATATTTAGGTCATTTTCAATTTATCACTAATATAAATTGTATATAAAGCTACAACAAACACTCATAAGTACACATCTGAACACAATTTTATTATTACTTGAGGATAAGTTTCTAAATGTGACTTTTTTTTTTTTTTTTAAAGATGACCGGTAAGGGGATCTCAACCCTTGGCTTGGTGTTGTCAACACCATGCTCAGCTAGTGAGCCAACCGGCCATCCTTATATAGGATCCGAACCCGGGGCCTTGGTGTTATCAGCACCGCACTCTCCCGAGTGAGCCACGGGCCGGCCCTAAATGTGACATTTCTTAGGGAGAGCATATTTAAGCTTTTATTACATGTGCTACTACTAACTGCTACTCAGGAAGTTTATCATCAATCTACAGTCACAACAGAGCACAAGAAACCCCATTTCCCCAAACTCGCACCCAAAACTGGGCTTGTCAATACTTTAAGCAAGACATAAGTAACACTAAACTTTCTTTGAATTCCATTGATTACATAAAACTTGGTCCCAGGCCAGTGATACACACCAGAGTTCATAATTTAGGTAGCAGAGGATACCCAGGAAAAGCAAATCCCACTAAAGATAGGCACACACAATTTTTAAAAAACAACTTTGAGATGAAGCAGCAAGGCAATGAGCAGGATCCAAGATATAGAATTAACAACAACAAAAAAAGTAAGATAATTGTGAACATAAATATTAAAGACATAAAAGGAGAATTAAAAACTCAAGAAAGAAATGATGCTATATAAAAAGATGTGAAAATAATTAAATAGAAGCTTAGAAATGAAAAACAGAGACACTGAAATTGAAACCGCAATGGATGGGTTAAACAGCACAGTAAACACAGGTGATGAGAAAGTTAATAAACCAATGCAGATATGAGGAATTTACATAGACTATAGAACAGTTAAAAATAAGAAGAATACAAAATAGAGGACAAAATATGAAAAGTAAAACAAAGTATCTGATATACAGCTAATACAAGATCCAAAGAAGAGAACAGTAAGCATGAGAATAAGTGATAGCAAAGATGTAGGGAAATGGATACTCTAACATTGCCAGTGAGAGTATAAATACTATAGAAATGCTTTGGAGAGCACTGGGCAATATTACATATAGAATTACAGTTGAAGCCCTTCTCACCCTATACATATTTGAAAAGTTAAAGTTTCTTACGGCAGATTCTTTAATGTTCAATTAATTTTGTATTAACATGGAAGGATTTCTCCAATGTGGATATATATATATATATATATATATATATATATATATATATATATATATATATATATATATATATATATATATATATATATATATATATATATATATATATATATATATATATATATATATATATATATATATATATATATATATATATATATTTTTAAGATGACCGGTAAGGGGGTCTTACCCCTTGACTTGGTTTTGTCACCACCACGCTCAACCAGTGAGCAAACCGGCCATCCCTATACATAGGATCTGAACCAGTGGCCTTGGTGTTATCCGCACTGCACTCTCCCGATTGAGCCACAGGCCGGCCCCAATGTAGATATTCTGAAGTTAACTCAATTGGGAGTACACCTAAAGGCCTTCCTACAGTCACTGAACTCAGAGAATGTCTCCCCAGTGTGGATTTTCTGATAAATTAGTCTTACATTGATGCTGAAGGCTTTTCCAGATTCCTTACCATGAAATGGTTTCTCTCCAGTATAAATAAGCTGATGCTTTCTACATTGGGAGCTACGTCTGAAGGCTATCCCACTCATTACAATCATAGGG